TCCTCGCTCTCCGACCGCCTATCTTTCCCTTTTCCTCACCTACTCACTCGCCTCCCTACATTCATTTCATGTTTGAATAAGCGTAGAGCTTACTCAGACCATGCTACTCTCCGGCTATACCGAAAGATGGAGAAAAATAGGAAACGATGCCGATGAGACAGACTTCCGGTAAACGGAAGGTAGAACGTAACGAAATTACGACTAATCACAGCCGTCCTATCTTAGTGCAAATGGCATTGACTGGAGGCGTTTCTCTTCTATTTTTCCTTCTCTAATTAGTTTGGCAGTTTGCGGTCACGAATTCGCGGCGGGAATTTCGCGTGCCGATAGGAAAAGAGGCTAGTTTCCTGCTGAACTTTGCATGGGAATACGACTCTGCCGACGGCTTTCTTCGGTATAATGATGATAAAGGTTGCGAGCTTTAACTCGCGTTAGCTTCTCCGCCGGCCTCCCTCCAAAGCTTAGTCGGCAAAACCGCCACCGAGCACGTCGGTAACGGTCTACTCATCTCCTTCCCCTTATAATATCCCCGCCTCCGCCCCTCCAACCTACGAAATCTACGCGCAGAACGAATATTAGCCTCGTTGTTCGTTCTCCTTACGTCATCGGACACGTTTCCCGCCATAATTTCTTTTCTATACAAAAGGAGACAATGTCAAATAGGAGGCAGCACAAATCGCATTTATGAGGTGTTGCTATCGAATCTACGCCATCTGTGGGAAGATTGAGAGGAATGCGAAGGGAGGAGGGAAAGAAGAAGAGTGAAAATGAGAATTAGGATGGAAAAGAAGAGTAAAAATTGCAAAAGTAATACGTAAGAAGCTTTTATGGTCAGCTTACTTATTGAAAATTGTCCTCAAGACTCAATAAAATAGAGATTATTAGAGTTTTCTTTCCGGCTGAAAAGATGTAGATTAGATTATGGAATAACGGAATTTTGCCGTTGGTACCTGTAGATACTAACGAGGGGAGAGTAGATTATATTTTCCTCAATTCTATTCCCTACTAATTAATCAGGCGATGCGGTGTATAGTAAAAAGCATCGGAAGTGGCCTAATATCCACTTAAAGAATAGTTACTGGTAGTTAGGCGGTGTTTAAGTTTGTTTTTCAAACATGCACCCAAAGAGACAACAAAGAAAAGTATGGCAACAATTATTGAGTCAATTAAGTCTTATTAACATCCAATTGACATTACTCTAATGTCGGTAGTTCTTTTTAATCACTCCTACATATTCTTATATTATACAGTTTTCTTTATTCATTCAGGGTTACGATGACGTTATACAACGACAGCGAGTGATACGAATAGCGCTAGCGAAGGCGGCGGCCGCGGTAGCGTTAGCAATAGCCCTAAGCAGCAGTAGTTGTTAAGGGAAAAGGGCGAGAGATTATGTGAGGGAGTGAGGGAGGGAGGGAGGAGAAAGAGGGAGAGAGAGAGAGAGAGAGAGAGAAAGGGAGTGGGAATATCTTATCCAAAAAGAAATGGCAATTAAATAATTAATCACTCTGCGAGAACCGTATGTGTAAAATGTCTAGCAGTTTTGCACAAGAGAATTAGGTACATGGATACAGTATACTGTATCTGTATATAGAATTTACGTGTAGTGAAATCCTCAGTCAGTTTAAAACTCGATACGAATAAAAGAACTTTGCAGATTTGTATGCAGCCATCTAAACTATCAGTTACATTTATAAGGGGAAATGTGTGCAACAGGGTTTATTCTAACCGATAATATATACATTATATAAGGTATTTATACCTTCCATATAACAATTATATGCATATTAATAGCAGTTCTATGGATTTAGGAGGCTCTATATAAATTTATATATTTTTTATATAACCAGTCAATAAAAGCGTATGATATTCAATATTTTCTTTATTTGTAATTGATATTCTTTTTATACATTCGACTCGAAAAATATATTTGTCCTTTGCTTTTACTCTTTGCCACTCGCCCAAACACCCCCTTTCAAAGGAACTTTACCTAATCTCTCTCTCTCTCTCTCTCTCTCTCTCTCTCTTTCTCGGCTTCTACCTCCCTCTGGCCTTTTTAAGAAATATATAATATTTGGGCAAGCCTAAATCATCAACTCGGATTAGGCTTTTGTCCCCTGAAAAGGTAAAAAAATGAGCCAACAGATGGCAGTCAATTGCTGTCAACTCGATCTATATATGCTATTATTTGTAGCAGTCTACTCTGTATTTCGCAAGCTCTGGCACCTAGCGACATCTATCTGTTCTATCAACAAGAAGGTGAGGGGGAGAAAGACAGAAAAGCTGTTCAATAAATGCAGGGATTTGTTTTGATAAGTAGGTCGATACTTGATATAATTGGGGTGGGAGGGCGAGACAGAGTGAGAGAGAGCGAGAGTAGGCGAGAGAGGGCGAGAGAGAGAGAGAGAGAGAGAAAATGATGGAAAAGAGTGTAAAGACTACTATTTTCTCTTATTGATAATTAAGAAGTTTGAAGGAGAAAGATTAGCGTTTAGCGAAA